TTTAAAAAACTATTGAATTTGAGATTAAAAACACTTAAGACCTAGCCCCGGAGCATCGCCCGGGTCTAAGAGCTAGTTATATATCTTATTATTCATATATATGTATGTTATAAATTTTATTATCAAGTTTAAGTATGTAATAAATAAGGCTCCAGCCCTGCGAAACGGCACCGTTTTACTAGTTTTAACATCCCGGAATCCATGTCATTCTCGGCTGAAAACCTTTTTAGCATTACATCAACCCATCTTATGTACTAATACTATAGTAAGAAAACTCTCCTTACAAAGAGGACAGAAGCTAAATTTGATTGCAGAAAATGCATTATGAAATTTCTTTAAAAGATTACAATCGTCATCAAAAAAGCTGTTATGCAAATAGTAGAGGCAAGCTATTTTGATTCTAAAATTTTTAGTTAAAAATAAATAATTATACTTATAATTTGCGATTTTTACCATTAAATTCGATTTTTATCATTAAATTTGGTAAATATTTAAAATAATATTATGTTCACTACCTGGGTTTATTTTCTTAACAATATGATTTTGACGTTTGCGACGATCATGTCTTTTTGTTTGTTCATTATTCGATAACCCGTTCTTGTAGGTGTCATAAAATTAATCCTCTATTCTTATAGCCTTTGCTTAGGGGTATAAATTCTTTTACGTTTTTACACTAATAAAATAAGTTATTAATCATTTGGCTTTAGTGAAGTCTTATTAACATTTGTTAATGATCAGACTTTTAATTAAAATTTCTACGGGGGATGGAAATAGGCCAAATACGTATTACAGGGGCGGGAGCCGGACATCGCAAAAATTTCTATGAGTAAGGCTATAAGGTCTTTCACTCCGCTCCAGCCCAATCAAAGGTTAGAATTAGTGGTTATGTATGTAAAATTAAGCATTGAAAAACCTTTACTCGGAAGTCACGTATAGACTTCATAATAATAAATTTAACAGTAATTGTAATAGATTTGGTATTAGCAAATAAAATCAACTTAATACGTAGACTACGCCAATTTTTTTTGATTCATATCGATATTTGATGACGCCAAGCAAAAACTAGACAAAGTTTTATTACTGGGTTCAGTCCTTGCTGATGACATACATAATATGTAATTTAATAAAATTTATGTAATAAAATCTAATCAGGCTGAGCCTTGGTAATAATCTGAGATTTCGACATATCGATATAATTTATTTCAAATTTGTCAATTTACATTTTTGCTACGTATTATCGTTATGTAGATTTAATTAATTAAATTTATTATCTATTTCTAGCAGTGCGATGACATAAAATTTTCGATCGGAACTACAAATAGTAAAGAGTTCATTTTTATTTTTATAGAGGATATTAATTTGGCCTAGTATTTGGCATTTAGCACATGATTACACATAATCTCAAACAAAAATCACCCGCATTTACGATAATATCTTTTAATGGTGCATAAAGCCCATTATTTTCTATTCTTTAGAGGATAATTCAATGTAAAAAACAGATTCTTCAAAGATTCGCTCGTGGAATCTTAAAGAAAACTACTGGAGAGATTTGGGAAATTCTACTTTTGCGCCTAGTTACATGTTGATCATTAAATTGTATAAATACATGCAATGAATATTAAATCATTGTGACGTTCTTTCACTCAGATCACCAGATGCCTCACATAGAAATTATTAGAAACTCCAAATTTCGATTTCAAAAGTGCACGAATTGTGCATCTTACCTCAAGCATTTAGTCAAAGGTTAATCATCGTCACACAATAACGTAAAAGTTTGTTTATTTTGTTTATCATATCCAATTACATCAATCATATTTTAACGAAAGCCTACGTATATGTAATTTTTTCTTTGTTACTTCGTTATTGACAATTTCTCAATGGCCGATAATACTCGCTTAAAAAATCCACTTGCTCCTGTTACAGCTGCTGTTTCAAAGATAGCAGCTTCAAATGTTGTACAAGAAACACGAAATTTATTATTTCATCACATACATAACACAAAGGAAAATAAAGAAGTCTTTGCGGATTTTGTAACGATAATTCGTTCAAAACCACTCAGCAAATTATCCAAAGTAGAAAAGGAAGCACATAGAAAAAAACTTGAAGATACGTGTAGAACACTATTAACGCGACTAAGTAATGTTGGCCTAAAGTATGAGGTTCGACGTGGATCCGAAGACTTGATATTTGTATTTATTTTATGTCCTCTTGATAGGCTTAAGCAAGAAAGTGAAAGGTCAAGGTAATATAGCAATATTTATAATGATTATAAATAATGGTTATCAATATCTAATTCTGTAATTAACTAAAATTTTGCTATAGAATCCATGATTGGCTTGTAGGTGCTCGTATTCGCGATATTGATGAAGATACGGAGGGGCCTCTAACAGATGCAGAACGATTGCGCCTTGTACATGATATAATTACCAACCCTGCTTCCGAAGGAGGTGCCGACATTAATCCAGGGTTAGGTGAATTTGAATTGGTTGAAGGTTTTTTACCACTTCAAGATAGATCCTACAACGAGGTTGCTATTTAATTTCCTTAAATTTTCTTATGAACCATTTTGTTTTTTCGTTATCTAAAAAAAAATATATTATTATTATTATTATTATTATTATCGCTTTTTTAAGGCTTGGATGATAACCTGGTCAACAAAATGGTTGATTGAAAAAGAAGACTTACTTCAACTAAGAAATCATTTTGGTGAAAAAGTATGCATCAAATGCTTTTTTTATTTTCTCTTTTAAACATTTTGACATTTTGTTAATTATCGTTAATTGGTTTGGTTATCCAGATTGCATATTATTTTGCATTCCTTCGATTTTATTTTCAATGGCTTGTTATACCAGCAATTGCCGGACTAGCGACATATTATTCTGGTGCACATTATTCAATACCATTTAGTATATTCATTGTTATTTGGTCAGTTACATTTGTCGAATTCTGGCGTCGTAAAGAATATGAGTTGGCTGTGTGGTGGGGAGTTCGTCATTTTTCACGCGTAGAAAGACGCAGACCTGAATTTAGGAAAGAAGGCTCTATCAAAAATCCCATTACCGGTGAAGAAGTTCCATATTTTTCTCCGTGGAGAAGATGGCTAAGGAGGACCCTCGCAGTGCCTGTAATACTCATTTTCAGCATAACTTTATCATCATCTTTAATCTTCTACATAATGATTGAAGTTATAATGTCTGAATATTACTCAGGACCGTTCAGAGATCAATTGGTATATATATATATATATATATGTATATATGTACATGTGATATCGATGTTTATTTATGTTATGATAACAATTTCCATTATTTTTATTACTTTAGATTTTCCTTCCGACCATTGTATACTGCCTGTTAATCCCGACTTTGAATAGTTACTATATCAAAATCGCAAAACGACTAAATGACTATGAAAACTATGATACAGAGTCACGCTATGAATTCAATTTAACACAAAAAATTTTCGTGGCTAATTTTCTGATTAGTTACTTGTCGATACTCTTTATAGGATGGATTTACGTCCCATTCAATAAAGAAATTGGTTATTTCTTTCAAGAATTATTCAATTGGTTTGGCTTTTCGACGACTGTTAAGAAAATCGGTCCGGAAAGGCTTGTGACTGAATTAAAATATTTTGTCCTGACAGCTCAAGTGTTGAACATGTTTATGGAGCTTATCTTACCATATTTGATTCGATTTGGATCATTTAGTATGAAAAGGATTCAAAATAATGGTGCTACTAAAGATGGTGGGAGAAACGAAGATGAATCTGCATTCTTAAAGAGAGTTAGGAAAGAAGTGAAGTTGCCAGTTTATCAAATTTATGAAGATTATGCGGAAATGATCACTCAGGTATTTATTTATATTTAATAATTCTAATTATACTTCAAATTGGTAACTTAATATTTACTTCCACAGTATGGCTATGTAAGCTTGTTTTCTGCAATTTGGCCATTGACGCCATTATTCGCGCTCATAAACAATTGGATTGAACTCCGTTCTGATGCAATAAAATTATGCGAGCATACAAGGAGACCAATTCCTAAAAGAGCTGATACTATTGGGCCATGGCTTGATAATCTAGTATGTTTAAATAAGTAGTTTTATTTTTTTTATCCATTTGATTATTATGGTCATCCTAGTTTGAATTAGTTATTTAATAAATTTATTGGATTTACATTCTATAGGTGATTCTTACATGGTTTTCATCAATTACAAATCCATCTCTTATTTACATATATCATTCGGACATCAAGGACCTTTCATCTCCTTTATCAATTATGGTAGTCATCACTCTTATTTGGTTTTCCGAACATATTTTCAACGTAGTTCATTATCTTATAAAACAAATGTTGGCGGCTCTACCAAGTGAGGCAAATGATCGCGTAGAAAAAGAGGAGTATGAGTTGAAAAAACGATTATTAGAAAAGGCTGGAATATTTTCGGGTTCATCACATCATGAATACGAAAATGATGAATCAATGAAGAAAAGGGAAAACAGTGAATGGTTCTGGCATTCAGACCATGCGCCTAATATTGAGGAAGCATTACAAGAAATAATGCAGGATAAGACGGAATAAATTGGTTTAAAATTTTGACCAGTTTGAGTGTTTGTAAATTTTCATAAATATATATATTATAGGATTTATATATTATTTATTGGTGAATAGGTTTATCAAAGGGATGGGATCTGGGATTCATTCAATCTTGAAATTTTCACTAATGTACATATATTCATTTTATTTATTGCTGAAACAATATATTTACGAATGAATAAAGATATTTCATGTCTTAACACTTTGCACTATAAAGGAATCTAAATTCACAATTGAAATTTTCATATGGGATCTTTGCCAGGAAAATGAGCCTTCGAGGTTATATTGATTTTGTGAATAAAATTAAATTTGCCTGCCATCTAGTTATCCAATTGGAATAAACTTTTTTTTTTAATACATTATCTACAGTGTTGTCAAAATTTTTCTAACGGTTGATTAGATCTATATTCTAATTGTTATTCTACTTTTCTATTGATAATTTTTACCCATAGCGATAGTGATAGAACATGCTAAATTCAACTCATCAAGTGATTCTAAGTGGGGTTAGACTAAAGGCAGGTACATCACGAAATTCCCATTGTCTACGACCAATCAAAATTGTGATTACACAAATCAGCCTGACGAAGAAAGTGAAACGGATGTCTAAACCTACCTTAGTACATTAGGTAAAAATGTTGCCCTTACCTTAATTAATTAACTTTAGTGATGTATCCGTCTTTAGTCATCCTTTAAAAAAATACAATTATTCTATTGATGAATACGTATGTAAAACAATAGAATTTATTCTATTGATTATTGCCAACTCAGTAAAATTTTCAATAAAATGAATAAAACCAATAGGAGGTTTATTCAATTGATTATTTTATTCAATAAACAAACATATAGAATGACAATGATTATCTACATTAAGTAGAAAATTAGGTGTCACGGGGTAGATAGTAGGGTTGTTAATGGAGTAGCTTACTCCGGAGCACTCTGGAGTAGAACCCAACCCAAGTTGGAGTGGGTTTAAAATTATGCCCTTAGATTTGGAGCAACCCGGAGCAAAACATTGGAGTGAGTCTAATTTAGTGGAGTGGGTTGAAGATTGGGTCAACCCAAACCAACCCAACTCAACCCATTAACAACCCTAGTAGATAGTGAGTTTTTCGAAAATCGTTGGACGCCACTATAATTGAGGCTTTGAGAATCCAATTGTTACATATGAGCCGAATCATAGTAAACAAACGCGAGACCCAAACATCCAAAGAACGAGTACGCGTAAGAGGCTTGGGTTAAAGAGAAGTTATTGTAATAACTTGTGACTACGGTTTCTTATAATAACAAAACTTTCGTTGAAAGAAAAACCCTTCTTTTGTAAATAAACTTTTAAGAGTTTGGCTGAGAATTCGTTGTTCAAAGCCCCTTTCATTCATAATGTAATAAAAGCTATAAAAATATCACATCACGCCTCTAATGAATTGCTTTAATTTCGTTCTCTCAATTGTGTATTTTCAATTTTTTGATTGTGTGTAAATTCCCGCCCGTAACATCAGAAACCTTTTACAGCATATTCTTCACTTGTAACATTTTCACGAAAATGTACGATTGTAACAATAACGATAAAGACGACTATCTAGTATAATATTGTACTTACGTATAGTTAACTATCGGTATGATGGGCCTTACACTGGATTCACCGATTTAACGGACTAAATTTAATCATTAAAAAATATATACGTATTAATCTGTATACTAAAAAAGTTTATTCGTATATACGTATAATTTCCAAACCACTATTTTGGCCAAATCCCAAATTAATATCTCAAAAACTTTATTATTAATATTATATTCTCATAGCTATATAATATATTTGCAAAATATCAAGATTTTTTTTTTATTATTATTATTTTTTTTTTTGTAAATGGCAATTGCTTTTTTTAGGGTTGAGGTTTGTTCGGGGTTTCCCGGCAAGTATAATTCGTACAGTCTGAACTTAATCCTTGTATATAAATTTTGCGATAAATGAAAAAATTACTCAAGACCGAATCGATAAGTTTCTGATTTCGGCCGACGTCTAACTTATTGATTCCAACTCTTTAACCTATCAGAATTTATGAAAACGGCTGTAAAAGAGAGGAAGTTTCTGAATCTAAGTCCGGATGGCTTTGGAGATCATGTGAGCCGACAATCTTTTTTGACATGACTAAGCTTCGTTTGTAATAACGATAAGTTATGAGCTTGCACATAAAAATGATTATCGATATCTCTATTATTTGTGGGAACCAATGCTAACAAAAAAATTGACGCGTTCAGCGTCTTATGTCAAGAATCAATGCTTGTGTAATTACAGTACGTATTTGGATACGGATTACTGTATTAGGTAGAATAAATATTTAAAGCTATCTTATTGTTTTTATTTTTTTTAATCTATATATATACCTTATTATCAATTCTAAATTATCATTAATTCTAAATTGTCATCAATTCCCAAAATTTCATGTTATATTTCAAACAGTTGAATCCTCTTACAAACGTTGGAATTTTTTCTTAGGCAGTTTTGAAAAGTTCGTAATTATTATTATAGTTAGTAGCCTTATAATAACCAAATCAAAAAAAAATTGTAATTGTAAATTTCTATTTTCAATCACTTACATACATGTATACGTACTACAATGACGATTTTTCTGAACTAGCTAAAAAAGTTAAACTGTTGAACATGCGTTCGCCTACATTAGCATAAATCATGAGTATATTCTCAAAGTATTTTTTTTTTTGTCAATTCTCATAGAGCTTTCATTGTTCAAAATACACTCACATAATTCTTTTCTAATTCTAATAAAAAGTTTCCCTACGATTATATACATTCTATTTTAAATCAATGGGTCAATGCATATCTCAAGGTCAACCCGAATTTCAACAATCGAGAAACACGCTGCAGGCACGTGGTGAATTCTTAGGTTCAGACTTAAGGGTAATGTTCAATAATCCTGTATATAGCGATACCATAATTACTTGTAAAGATGGTGGTGTATTGTACGGCAGTAAATTACTTTTGGCGGCCCGTTCTGATGTATTTGCTAATATGTTTTTAAAATCTAAAAACAATAACGATAAAAATACAACAAATAATGATGATAATATTAGACTTTTGGAATTTAATTCAAAAACAATATTAATGGTTCTAGAATATTTATATATGGGAAATATTACGATGGAAACATTAACGCTTAAAAATGTAGTAGAAGCATATTTTGCTGCCGAATACTTTTTACTTCCTCAACTTGAAGAAATAGTAATCTCATTCTTAGATAACGCATTAAAATGTAGTGCGGATAATAATTTGGCTGCAAAATTTTTAACACAAGCAACGGAATTCATGTTAACTTCAACAGATGACATATTATATCGAACACTTTATGATTGTTTAATCGTTACTCCATTAGAAACAATAGATTATGGAATCCTTAATCAGGAAGGATTACAATTTATAATATCCGCAAATGAGATAAAAACTGAAGAATTTGCAACTCCTGAATACGGTGTATTTCGTTATATAATATTATGGGCGGCTAATAAAATTTCCCAAGACGCTGTTACTTATTTCGAATACCTTTTACCAACAACTGATCATGCAGAACATCTTGACGTCTTACAATTAGATAGATTACGTAGAGCTCATGAAATAAATCATTATAAAAGTAAAGAACTTTATGAATTAATCCTTCCATTATTATCACCTTT